TAAAAGTCAATCATGAGGGACTGGGGAGATGGCTCCTTGGAATAAGTGCTTCCCTGGCAAGCACAAGGTCCTGAGTTCAATCCCCGGTTCCGCAAAAAAAAAAAAAAAAAAAAAAAGGCCAGTTGTGGTGGTGCATGCCTGTAATCCCAGCACACAGAAGGCTGAGACAGGAGGATCACTGGAAGTCTGAGACCAGCCTGGGTTACACAGTGAGCTCAAGGTCAGCCTGAACTTCACAGTGAGACCTTGTCTCAAAAAATCTCTATCTATCTATCTATCTATCTATCTATCTATCTATCTATCTACAATTATCAACTTCATTCTCCTAACAATTTATAAAGAATGTTTACCAATAATTACATTTTGTATAATCAACATACAATGCATTGTCAATAGCATAGATATATTAATGATTATGTATACATAACTCAGTTAAATAAATATATGGTTGACATTAATTAAAATATACAATTATAGTATACTGTACTATCAAGTAGCCTAACCCAAACCCACGAGCCACACCAGCTGACACAGCCGCCCTGGCCCTTGAGCCCCGAGCGCGTCCTCCGACCCACCACGCCTCTGCCCAGCACTCAGCAGCTGTCTGCGCACTCGCTCCTTCCCTGGCCTCAGTCCTGCCTTGACGGTGGGTTTTGGCTCGGGCCTGCTCTGAAGGCCACTTCTCCCTTCCAGCCCACACGGGCCTCTCTTCTCGCCACGAGGCTAACACTCCAGCACGGATCCTGCAGTGTCTTCCGCGAGAGAGGTCCTGGCACGCCCTCCCACACCGGGGCGCCGGTCTGTGCAGTTACCTTTCTGACTCCGGTACTGCCGGGGCGCTGTCCAGCCGTAGAGTCCATCTCCAGGCTCCTCGTCCTTCAGGACGGTGTCGTACCGCGACAGCGTTTCTGTGGCATAAATATCCTCATCTTCCTCCTCCAGGGCACCTACACCAAAGGCCTGCAGAGAACAGGGCTTCCCAGTGAGCAATCACAGCTCCCGGGCCGTGTCCGCACTGAAGACAGAGCTTCCGGAAGGAAGCGATGAACGGTCACTGGATGACCAGGAAAGACGCGAAGGAGAGCCCCAGATTAACACAGCCTCGAGTCTCTTGGAAAACTGTGGCCAGCAGCAAACGCCATGCCTCCTGGAGCAGCTGGCCTCTACCTTCGGCAGAAGGGCGAGTTTGGGTCTTAGCACAGGAAGAGGCTGCGCTACAGAAGCTGGAAGAGGGCCTCCAGGTCACTGCGGCCAGTGCTGGTGGCCAGGCTGAGGACCACGGCTACTCTATCGGTGGCCCTGAGGACTCCTAGTCCTGCTGGCAAAGTCTCCTACAACTTCAATTTTGTGAAAGGACTTGAATTAAAAAGTAATGATGAGGTGGAAGTAATTATTTAGATTTTAGTAAAAATCTAAATGCATTTTTAAAAAATTTTATTTATTTATTTATTTGTGGGGGGGCAGCTCAGCCCACCAGGATGCAGGGCTGGCTGGCATGTGGTGCTGGGGGATTGAACCGCGGTCCCTGTGCTTTGCTAAGCTTGTTCTAAGTAGATGCCTTAGACCACTGAGCCATCTCACCAGCTCCTCTAAATGCATTTTAACAAAGAACTCTGAATTCATTTGGGAGGATGGGCAATCAGGAAAAGCTCTTTATCTTTCCAAAAGTAAAAAGCAAGTCTCCACATAAAGATTAATCCTGTGTCCCACAACATAGGATATGTGGCACTAGGAAATAATCCGAGAGGTAGTCAAACTTGGATCTAACTTTGGAGATGTAGGTTGTAATTAAAATATTACTAACCACAAGGGCAAGGGTACTGCTGTGCATGGGCCTGTAATCCAGCACTCTGGAGACTAACATAGGAGGAGTGTGAGTTTGAGGCCAGCCTGGGCTACAGATCAAATTCAAGGTCAACTAGAAGGGGCTGCGGAGATGGCTCAGTAGAATAAGTACTTCCCTGGCAAGTACAAGGGTCTGAGTTCAATCTCTGGTTCTGCCAAAAAAAAAAAAAGGCCAACTAGAATACATAGTGAGTCCCTGTCTCAAAAAAGAATAGTTTTCTACCTGTCCCACAAGGTAAGAACACAATTGTCACCCTTGGCAACACATAAAGTCCGCTGAAAAGATGGGTACAGGCTCTTAGGAGCCCTTTATTAAAATCAAGATAGTGTGCTTTACAAGCCTTCCAGAAAACTAGCTGGGAAAACACCACCACTTCAAAGTCTTCATTCACTCAATGAGTAGAGAGGCAGATCAGACCACAAGAGTATGTTCTTTAACCAGTGATTCCGCCTTCGTATCTGAATCACTTTTTAAAAAAATTTATTTATTTATAGAAATAAGAAAGAGAAAAAAATAAACCATGGTTTAAAAAAAAAAAAATTATTTATTTATTTATTTTGAGTGTGTGTGGCCAGTTCAGCCCACCAGGGGGCGGGGCTGGCTGGCATGTGGTGCTGGAGATTGAACCAAGGTCCCTGTGCTTTATGCTTAGCTTAGCTTGTTCTAAGTAGGTGCTTTAGACCACTGAGCCATCTCACCAGACCCAGAATCACTTTTACCTGGCCTGAAATTCCCAGTTTTCTTCCTTTATGAAGTCCAGCTTCTCCGAGAAGATTGCTGGCTCCCTCAGGTCCCCCACTGAAAAGATTGACATGTTCGGCTGAAGTTCCAAACAATGCTTGGTGGGGATCCAGGCCCTTGTACGCCAGCCCGTGTACGTTGTCCTTCGGTGTGAAATCCACAGGGGTGACGTCTTTGGGGGCAAAGGTCACGTTATCAGGCAGGTACTCATCCTCTTCACCCTATTTCCAGTGTTTAAAATGGCATTAAGATGAGTCATTCCCTGGCCAAAAGTAAACCCATACAGTACTATTTTAAAAGTGACTAATTCCAGGGGCTGGGGAGATGGCTCAGTGGAATAAGCGCTTCCCTAGCAAGTGCAAGGGTCTGAGTTCAATCCCTGGTTCCGCAAAAAAACCAAAGCCAAAAACAAAAAACTGAGTTAAGTTACCCATTTAAAAATTTTTTTAAAAAGGGGCCTGGCCCTAGCTCAGTTCTTTAAGTGGCTGCTTCGGCAAAGCTTTCAGCCTCAGGTTGCTGTAGTTTGATCCCCACAACACTCCAGCCAGCCAAACCACCCCTGAGGGCATTCGGAGCAAAAAAAATAACATAACATAACATAACATAACATAACATAACATAACATAACATAACATAACATAACATAACAATGACTAATTCCAAAAAGATAATCACTAAACTTTCATTTACACTGTCACCAATGACCTCATCACATCTTCACACAAATGATAGTAACACAGTTCCATAACGAAACTGAACACACGAAGGACAGCTAAGGTGCAGGTGCGCTCCCGACATCATCCGACAGAACACGAGGAGTCCTGGGCGTGGGCATTCCACAGTAATGAGATCGGTTGGATGTCTAAAACTGTGCCAAACCCTAAAACCTCAGGGTCATAAAGAAACAGGTTGTGGGGAACTCAGTACCTCTGATTCTTCAGAGCCTCCGGGGGGCAATGCACAGCCGTAGATTTTTACTCCAGGATCTGGAAAAGAGATTTCAAAGACATTAGCCATGAGCAATAACAAAAGAATCCCAACTCACTGGTCATCTTCAGAAGCACATGCCTGTGCTTCTAAAGGGCTGCAGGAGCTGGCAAGGTAGCTCAGAAGGCTAAAGCACCTGCTTTGGAAAGCTTAGGCAAGGGTAGGGACCATGGTTTGATCCCCAGCACCAAATGCTGCACCAGCCCTGCCCCCAGGGCAGGCTAAGCTGGCCAGAGTCTGGGCCTACTGGCGCATGCATGCCTGTACTCCCAGGGCTGGGGAGGCTGAAAGCAGGAGGATCACCAAGAGTCTGAGCTACGTAGTGAGACCCTGCAACAACCCAATACATTAAAAAAAAAAAAAAAAAAGGCTGCAGCTTTTAGGGTCAGAGGTGCATCACTAAGTACATCACTAGAAGATTTTCCCAGCAGCCAGCCCCACGCAGGGCTGACCAGAAGTAAGTAACACTGCTTCCCCAGCACAAGGAAGAACCCCCAGGAAACAACGTCTGCTCTCAGAGCATTCAGGTTAGCCTGTGATGGAGTTCCAGTGAAGACAGGAAACAAGGACTTTCATACCCTGTTGGTGGGAATGTGGTGAGTACAATCTTTCTGGGAGCTATAATCTGCTGTACATAAAAAGCCTTAGACTTGGGTGTGGTGGCACAAGTACTTGGGAGGCTGAGGCAGGAGAGTGGACCAGAATGAGTTCAAGGGCAGCTTGGACTTAAAATTGACTTTCCACATGCCAAAAATTAAAACTAGATCCATAGCTTTCACCAGGCACTAAACTAAAATCAAAATGGATCAAAGATCTAAAATTGGGGCCAGGGAGATAGCTCAGTGAAATAAGCGCTTGCCTGGCAAGTGCAAGAACCTGAGTTCTATCCCCGGTTCCACAAAAAAAAAAGATCTAAAAATTGTTTTTAATTTTTTTTTTTTTTTTCAGTACTGGGGATTGAACTCAGGACCCTGTGCTTGCCAGGAAGGTGCTTATTCTACTGAGCTATCTCCCCGGCCCCCAGAGATCTAAATATTACAGTACAAACATGGAATCTTCTGGAAGACAGACTAGGAAGAACTCATGAACACATTGGTGTAAGCAAAGACTTTATGAACAAAACCCCAATTATACAATGACATCATAAAGAATAAACAACTGGAGAGGCCAGGGAGTTAGCTCAGTAGAATAAGCGCTTCCCTGGCAAGCACATGGGCCTGAGTTCAATCCCTGGTTCTACAAAAAAAAAGAACAACTGAAAATAAACTCCTCAAAAACTTTTGCATAGCAAGAGCAACCATCAACAGAGTGGAAAGACAGCCCATTGTGTGGGAAATAGATTTTGCCAGTTGTTCCTCAGACAAAGGACGAATACCTAGCATATATAAAGAACTTAAACAGGGGAGATAGCTCAGCGGTCTAAGCGCCTGCCTGGTAAGTGCAAGGACCCGGTTTCGATCCTTGGTACCACATGCTGTGCCAACCCAGCAGGAGCCGGCCTCCAAAACAGGGCATGGTGTCGCATGCCTGTAATCCCAGCACCAGGGAGGCTGAGGCAGGAGGATCATTATGAATCCAAGCTGCGTAGTGAGACCCCATAGCAATAAATAAAGGATAAAAAGATTAAAAAAAAGACTCCTCCAAATTTAAAGACCCAATCCAAAAATGGGCATCTGAAATAAACAGACATTTCTCAGATGAGTAATTAGATATGACAAATAAATATATGAAAAATGTTTAACATCACTGGTCATTCGAGAGATGCAAATTAAAACAACACTCCAGAAAGAATGGCTATCATCAAGAAATCAACCAATAACAAATGCTGCAGGGGCTGTGGGGGAAAAGGAAGCTTCTCTACTGTTAGTGGGTGTGGAGACTCCTCAAAAAACTAGAACTCAAGTTTCCAATTGATCCAGCTATTCCTCTTCTTGGTATCCTTCCAAAAGAATCGAAAGCATCACACCACAGCGATCCATGCGCACCCATGTTCACAGTGGCCCCGCTTGCAATACCCAAACTTGGAAGCAGCCCAAATGACCACCAGCTGGTGAGTGGACAAAGATGTGGCCTTTTTGTACTACTCTGCCATAAAGAAACTTAGGTTTAAGACATTTCTAGCTAAATGAATACACCTTGAGACCACACTCTTAAGTGAAATAAATTGGACACACATGTTGAAATACTACATTGTTTCTCTGGTACCAGAAACAAAAAGTGTAAACATGACCAAAATGTATAATACACATGGGAAGATGGGCCGGGCGTGGTGGTGCACACCTGTACTCTCAGCACTGGGGAGACAGAGGCGGGAAGACCATCGGGAGTTGGCGATCAGCCCTGGCTACAAAGTGGGCTCAAGGCCAGCCTGAGCTGCAGAGCGAGACCCTGTCTCCAACAGATTAAAAGGATAAAATGGAAACAAAGATTTTTATAAATGAGGGGAGTGCTCGATTCAGCAGCACATATACCAAAAAAAATAAAAATAAAAAATAATAATAATAATAAGGAGGGGAAGAGGGATTGAAGGGAGTGCAGGGGAATGGGGGAAAAAGAAGAGCACGATCTGCCGTGTACAGGATGTGCACGTACCAATCCCCTATGATGTTATCATTATGTATGTCTAAAATGTACAAAAAAAGGTCATCCTTAGCTACATCAAACAGACATAAAAAGAACAAAACTTAAAGCTATATAATGTATTGTGTTGAATCATTTCCAAATAATGTAATTTATGGTCAGCCTGAACTACATAGCAAGACTCTCAAAAAAAAAAAGGCACAAATTTTTAAATCATGTTGCAAATGAATGACATCAATAGGCATACCAGGCTTCTGTCGGCGTGGCCTTCTCTTTGTTCGAGGACCGATTCCTTGTCCCTCTTTCCAACCCATTTTTCTTAGCAATTCAAAACCAACAGACAATCTAGTACATAAAGACATCGGAAATGAACTCGTTACACCATTAGTGAATACGGTATGGAACAGGCAGCTTCTGAGTCCTAGACCTTCACTTCCTGTGCCTGTCTTCCTGAGTGCCATCCCCTCCTACCCAAGATTAGCACTCCTGCCATCTCAGCCGCAGCGGGCTGGGTGTGAGGGATGCCTGACCTTGGGAACGTGATCAGATGCCCTCTCTCCTCGGCCTTTGGCACAGATGCTTAGGGGCTATAGACTGTCCCTGCCCAGCAAGTGGGGCAACCACGAAGGCCTGAGGCTGCCTGGGCAGGCCACATGCCCAGGAGCAGGAACAGGTATGAAGGAGAACAGGCAGAATGAGGCAGCCAGGGAGAGCCCAGCAGCCCCGTGCGGGAGGTCAGAAGCAGCCCAGCCAGTTCCTAACAGCACCCCAGCCTCCGTGCACCCCAGCAGCAGAGCTGGGGATGAGGTTCCTGAGTTGCTCCATGTAGGAGGACAAGTCCATGTCAGCGGTGCCCACCTTTGTGCTTACAATTCTAGTCTAAGAAGGCTGCTGTTACTTGCCACCCAACTCTCCCTAAATATGATCATCAAACAACCAGAAGCAGGTTCTCCTCACTTGGACGGTGTTATGAAGTCATCAAGCAGAGTGGCTCCAGGAATCGGGGCAGTGGCAGCTGCCAACTGTCTGGCCTTTTCTTGTATTTTATCTTTGGTTTTGGAAGCAAAATCATCTGTGGTAACAATTGCTTTAGGTGCTATCCCAAATTCACTAAGATCCTTAAGAAAAAGAAAAAATTAGAACAGAATTACATCATTTGGAAGTGAGTCAACACGATACATATATAGCTTTAACTTTTCTTTTGTCTGTTTTTGGTTTTGTTTGGGGTGAGTAGTGGAGATGAACTGAGGACCTCTTCACTAGGCTATCTTCCAATAATTTATTTTGAGACAGGGTCTTACCAAGATGCTAAATTACCCCTCGTGCATACAAGCTGAGACCCTCCTATCTCAGCTTCCTGGTACAAGCATGCACCACTAGGCGTGGCTCATTTTTCTTTTTTCTTTTTTTAACTTTTTGAGACAGGGTCTCTCTATGTAGTTTAGGCTGGCCTAGAGCTCACTTTGTAGTCCAGGCTGGCCTCAAACTCCAAAGTATTCTCCTGCCTCAGCCTCCTGAGTGCTGGGATTACAGGCATGCACCACTATGCCAGGCTGCGGTGCTTTATTTATTTATTTTTGAGGCCGAGTCTCACTATGCAGTTCAGGTTGACCTTGAGCTCACTTTGTAGCCCCAGGCTGCTCTCGAACTTGCAGTGATCCTCTTGCCTCAGTCTCCTGAGTGCTGGGATTGCAGGCATACGCCACCATCCCAGTTCATTTTTCTTTAAAAGAAAATAAGTTAAAACTACAAGATGTAGCTGGAAAGTGGCACACTTCATGCTCTAACTTGCAAACCTCATCCTCCTCACATAAGATAAGGCTGATAGTCAAAGACAGGGCTCAGTGGCACCACACATACAGCGCCATGCTGGAAAGGCTGGATGCAAGTTGCGCTCGACGCATTGAAGGTCAGTGAGAAAGGACACGCTTAAGTCCACAGCCAGCAAGCACTGTGAATCCCAAGTGCCGAGCCTCGACAAGGTGCCGTGCACATCCTGGGCAGGTGCTGTGGCCCCTGTACAACAGCCACTGTGCCTCTTCCTTCCCTCACAGAGCCCCAAAGCTGCTGCTTTGTCTCTGTCACCATTCACTTCAGGACAGGTGCCTACTGTCAGGGGACAGGGTTAGCCAGTGGGGTTCCTGTCTTACTCAAGCCAGTCGCCTTGGTCCCACTTCCCCTGCCAGAGACTACACTAGGAACGGGCATGGAAAACAGCTTGTCTCAGCACACATGAGGGCAAATGCACTGTAGGGCTGAGGTGAAAGGTCTCTCTGCTCCCAGGACAGGACAAGAAGCAAGTCACCTGCTACAGATGATGTCCTGGATGTGCCAACTGGAACCACTTGCCCCCATCTTCCAACCAGAAAGAGAAGTAAAGTAAGGACGTGCTGACGATGTGGGGAAGATGACGAGAGCGCGCCACGGGCCTCAGTGCATGTAAACTTCTCATTACACATGATTTATGACTATTGCAGCTTGGATTTTCTTACAGGGTAGATCTCAAATGCCTCCCAAAAGTCTCACATGTGGAAGGTGACTGGATGGTGGGGCGCTGTACTCATCGGTGGATTCCTCCATGGATAAGTTCAGCAGCTGAATTGCTGTGAGGAGGCAGGGCCTGTTGGGCTGGGTCACTGAGGGGTGTAACCTGGATGGGTACTTTTTTTTTTTTTTTAACTAATTTTATTGAGAAACAAATAGCAATGAGACAGTTTTAAAACCGATTAGTACGACAGTTTCAATAATTAATACATTGCATATTGTTGTCTTAGTGGTTATTCATTGTACAAGATGCAGACATGATACCCTATCCACAAACACTATTAGAACAAATCTTTCTATTCACTGAATTAAGAGAAAGTAGCTATATATATCTATTCTATTTTCAATATACAGATACAAAATATTCATTTGTATCCCCTTTTTTTGTTTAGTTTTGTCAGAGATGGGTATTACATTGTCATTTAAATATTGTAGGTACATGAATTCAGCAAAATAATCCAATATAGTTCAACAGTCCATTATGTCTAAGATGTTTGATAATCAGACAGATAGTGAGGTTAACCTCAACTGTCTACGTTACAGGGTAATAATAATAAGCTTCTCTTCTGGAGGGTTAACAACCTAAGTTTGTGGACCAAAAATTAGAGAAAAAGAAGGGCTGCAAGGACAGCCAACATTTTGGCCCTAGACTTTCAAGGTCAGTGAACACTTAGGACATAGGAGAACCTGTACTGTAACATCATGTAACTCAGTTGTGTCCCAGCTTTTCTGATCAAGATTATGGGGCCACAGAGGAAAGTGATTGATGATGTAGAATGTGCCTAAGGAGAGTCACATGGAGAGAAAACATTTTCTCAGGTTTTCACAGAGAGCTACTTTCTCTTAATTATCTTTTAAAGAGAATAAAAATTAATAAAAAACAAACAAAAAACACCAAACATTAGAAGTGATACAGAATTTTACTAAACAAAATGATAGGATTAAAGGTTCCATAAAACACAACTATTTCCCTCATGGAGATTTTCCCAAAAGAACGCAAAACATGATGTCACAGTGATATATGTGCACCCATGTTTATAGTAACACAATTGTCACAGATAAATCTTGGAAACAATGCAAATGTCCATCAATTGAGCAAATGGATAAAAAAGATTTTTATATAATGGAATATTACTCAGCTATAAAAAACATAAACTTGAGGCTTTTGTAGATAAATGGACGCAATTAGAGACCATACTCAGAAGTGAAATAAACCAGACCCATATGTGTAAACATCATATTGTCTCCCTATTGTAAGAAGATGAGAGAGTAAATTCTGAAAGGTACAAGAAAAAAATATATGTGTATACACAGGATAGCTTGGATAATTGTACTGCTGATTTCTACTAGTCAATTGAAGAAATAGTTAAAGCTTAAACTTTTCTTTTTAATTTTTTGACCAATTTTGCATGATTATATGTGGTAATCTTCTTTTTTTTTTAACTGAGGATTGAACTCAGAACCCTGTGCTTGCCAGGCAAGCACTTATTCTACTGAGCTATCTCCCCAGCCCCTATATGCAGTAATCTAAACAACTAATTTAAAGGCAACAATGGGCTTTTCATTATTGGTAAGTTTTAAATTACATTTTTAATTTCATTAACTGATACTAGGTTAGAATTTTTATATCTTCTTGATTTAACTTTGATACTCTGTGTTTCTAGGAGTCTGTCCATTTCTTCTGTTTTCCAATGTATTAAAGATTCCTGAAGTAGGTACTGATGATCTGAATTTTCACAGGATCTGTAGTGATTTCTCCCTTTTAATTCTTAATTGCATGGATTTGAAATTTTCTTTCTTTTTTTGATAAGGTTAGCTAAGGCTTTATCAATGTATTTAATCTTTCAAAACACCAGCTTTTCAGTTCCTTGCTTAAGTCATCTTCCAATGCAATGGATGCCAGTGCTTTAGTTGCAGGGCACATGGTGACCAATGTAGAGGCCAGTAAAGTGGGTCTGCATGCTTTTATCTGGTAATCTGAACAACTAAATAGAAGACTACAACATGCTATATAACAACCATTGTTCTCCTATGTCCTGAGTCCTCACAGAGCTTGAAAGGCTAGGGCCAAAATGTTGGCAGTCCTCGCAGACCTTTTTCTTCTCTGTTTTTTGGTCTGTAATCAGTTGTGTCCCAAATTTTCTGAACAAGGAGATTATGGGGCCACTGAGGAATGTGATCAATGATGTAGAGTGTGCCTAAGATGAGTCACATGGAGAGAAAACATTCTCTCAGGCTTTCACAGAGAGCAAATTGGTCAAGCAATGGCTGTGACTCATCCACATGGCTGACACTCACAAAGGATCTACTAACTGTGGTATAGGGATTCAGGATAAATCCTGAGGGAACTTTACTGACCTTATCAGACACAAAAGTTACATTTCTTGTTATATAGGTCTTGC